AGGCGGCGGCGGGGCTCGGGGGCGGGAAGCGGGCCGTGTGGGGGAGCCCCGCTCGTTTTCTCCTCACGCTCTCCCCGCCGTGCGCGGGCAGCGCTCGGCAGCACGGAGGCCGCTCCCTCCCCGGTGCTGGGGCCGGTGGGAGGCCTCCGACCGGGCCGGGGAGGCGAGGAGGCCGGGCGAGGGGTAGGGGACGGCGGGGGCAGCTCGGCGACCGTCACCGGCGCGGAGGGTGGTGGTGGTGGTGTGTGTGTGGGGGGGGTGTCTGCGTTTCCCGGGGGGGGCTGAAGCATCTCGGTGGGTGGCTCCCGGAGGTGGAGGGAGGGAGAGAGAGGCAGCCGCTGCTCCTTGAGACGAATTAAAAAACAAAATATAAAGCAAAGTGGAGAATGCAGCTGGTGCTGAGGCATCTGCGAGGTTTCCGCTGGCCCAGGGACGCGCCTGGGAATTATCTGTGGGATGGGAAACAAATGGAAAATGCCCGGGGTGTCGTGCGGCTGCGACTGGGTGCAGGTGGGGCCGAATCTGGCCGAACACAAACTCAGCTCCTGGCCTTTGGGGTACGCAGTTTTGCATGTGAGAAGTTAGAATCTTAAACTGAACGCGATGAATAAAGCACATTATTGTGGGTTGCGTTTAGTCATCTTTGCAAGGCCCTTTCAGTGCTGGCTCCGCAGCGAGAATACTTCCTGCAAAATAGTCATTCGTGCTTAAATTCTGTGCATAAAATTAAATTTGCAAGCCTTTCTCATAACTACCGTTATGAGATAGCATGATTGCTATCTTATCTGTGCAAGGTCATAGAGGGCTTGCAGTTCCCTGCCTTGTTAGATGACTGGTTGGTCACATTTAACCATATTTAATGCAGTTGATACATGACCTTTTTTGGTGAGGAATTCTGTTCCAAGTTTCTGTGGATTTTGAGTTAGACAGCCTTTGAAGGACATCGTGTTTACTTCTTAAACACACTGGAGCAAACTTGCACTTAAATCTGTTCCTCGCTGCCAGTCTCTTAACTTTGGGAAGCTGCTTGACTCTCAGAAAATTGCCCAAGTTGCTTGCATATAAGAGGTACAGCTCAACAGACTCTCTCTCCCAGGGCAACTAAGCTGAAACTTTTGAAAACAAGACCCAAACCCATTTGTTTACTTTTTGTAGGTATGTGTTCCCATTTGCCATATCTAGCCCTTTTAACATAAACTTCTTTCTTTTCTTTTGCCACAGACCAAAGGTTTCTCTGAAGCTTAATCTTCAGGATGAAGTTCTTACTAGCAGTTTTCTTTTTCATCTCGTTCTCCTTATGGGTTGAAGAAGTCTATTCCAAAGAGAAGTCTTCAAAGAAAGGAAAGGGGAAGAAGAAGCAATATCTATGTCCCTCGTATGTTTCTTGTTTCTTTTATGCTTTTGTATGGTGGCGGTCCTGCCCTATTTTTAACAGTGGAAATTATGTGACAATTGAAGTAGAAGGTGATGCTTTCTGCTGAAAGAACGGGGTTTGGGGTGGGAATGGGAGGAAGAGGGTTTGGCCAGCATCATAGCTAAGTTCTGTCACTGTGTATGTTTCTTCTGCAGCAGGTCCTCTGTTTTAATGAAAGGAAAAATCTAAGCCATAGTAAATTGTTTCCTTCTTTGTGGGGGTTTCCAGCCCAGTGTCTTGCTATTAATGGGACATGTAATGTAGTCCCATAGTGCTATGCTGTCTAGCATCGTGTTGCAGGTGTACTGAGAAAAGCAAGGAGGATGCAAAACTGTCATACTGAAATTCAGTTTCTGGTTAGCTTAGTTCTGTAAGAGAAGGCTTGTCCTACACATATTCTTATTGCATGTTGAATAGAACTAAGGTCTTCAGCATGTTCTGTCAATGATTTACAGTACTATAACATTTATGGAGGTGGATTGATTGTTGCTACAAAGCATGCCCTTACGGAATAATGTCTCTGTAAAAATACAGAAATTAAAATCTGTGATTGCCCAGTTGAATAGAGAATGTATTCTGGATACCTATGATTACTTGATGTTAAAAATACTCCCTCTTTATAATGCCTGTCGCGTTTTAGGTTGTGATCCATAGGTCATTGCAAAAGTTTTATTTGTGAGCACCTTTTTTGTCATTTTCTTGGCTAGTCTTGCTCATCTCTATAGTGTTATGGTGTAAATATCTGAGAAGATTGATGGAATATAGTAAGTTGGCAATAAGTGTAGAAAAGCGCTGTGTCTGAAATGATCAAATCGTTTAGACAAATTTAAACACATTTATTCTTTGACCATAAAAGAAGACGACTGGAAGATGAGACTGGCCATTCAACATTAATAGACTTTTTCCAAGCTAAAAAAAAAAAAAAAAAGAATAACAAGACAGAAGCAATGTTTGAATAATACTTTTTAAAGTTCGAACTCTACTTAAATATTGACAGTGATGTTTATTTGTAACCCAAACTTTTTAGAAAGTTTATATGTATGGTGAGTGCTTTCATTCTTTTTTTATATCAAGCCTAAAAAATGAGATGTATCCTTGGATCTGAATACTGTAAGAGGCAAGTCTCAAATGTGATCATGACTCATCTGAAATGACTCCTACCTATTCTGTCCCATTTGAATAGTTATGTTGAGCTCTGAATGGAGCTTTTGGTCTGAGCTACCATGAAGATTTGTAGCAAGGGGAGAAATGTCATAGTTCCCAGGACAGGGGTCAGCAGGGAAGTCCTGCGAAAGTGAGTTACGCAGCTGGAAACTGAATCCAGATCTTCCATCGTCTCACTGAAGCAGCCAGCATTTCCCCCTGTTCTTGACTTGGTCTTAATTAGAATTCAAAACATTGATGTAATTTTATCTTGATAAGTGGGTGGATTTTTTCTTTGTTTTTCTCTTAAGCACAGTATTTCTTGGTACCCTGTTCTTTTTGATATCAGTTGACGTTACAACCATTAATTATGATGTCATTTGCCACCAATATACTTGAAAAGCATTGAATAAATGCTATAATTTTTGAATTGATACTTTTACATTCCAGCCAATTGAAGCCTTCTGCAAAAATACTAGCAGAATCCAGTATTTGTCTGATGTATCACGTGTGCAGTGTTGCTAGCTAGAATTAATTGTTGTAGCGTAAGCCCTGTTGGATTTTCTGAATAATGAACAAGTTGTCTATATCTTACTTGGCTGAGGTTCACAGCTTGAGACCACTTGTAATAGCAGGGCTGCAGGACTGCTGTTTTTGTGGCTGGCATCTAGAAGACCTCTCACGTGAATGAGCAATGAAAGTCAGTTCTGTCTTGCAGAGAAATTATCTAATGCTCTCTTAACTCAGGCTACTGATGGCAAACTTTCATTCATCAGCATTTTTTTCATAATCATTCACAAAACCTCTTGACTTGGTGACGCTCCGTGTTATAAAAAAGGCTGCATACTCTCAATAACCTTTTTCCTGTGGAAAAAAAGTAAGGAATCTTTCCTCAGAAACAAACCAAAACACAATGCAGTGGAGTGGGAATTAACTGACACCATAAGGGTTGACCAAAAAGAATCTCAAAGTGGTTGAATGAAAAATTTACTAGTAAAGCACAAAAGAAATATTTTAGAAGAATGCCTTGTATCTTTTCTAAAGAAAAAAAAGCAGGATTTTGCATCATGTATAAAATTGAATGGTACAAATTCCTAATGAAAACATACATTTATAAGTTAAAATCTTAATCTACCTTTAATTTACATTGGTTACTGGTCCAATATAATTTAAAGCTTGATTGTAATGAATTATTGCTTTTTGTTTCCTTACAACATGTGAAAGCTAAATTTTACCCCCTCAGGAGAACAAAACCCCATACTAGTAATTATATAAGGAACAGTCTTCTCTTTACAAGCTTTATAATGAAATTCAAAGGTATGCAAATAATTTTCCAGGAAAGATTTATACTGAATCTGATGTTACTGCCTGAGTTCCTTAGTTTGATGTTAAGAAATGGATGGTTATAAGACTGGTTTGGGACTTCAGCGTGAATTTGTTTGTATGAAAACTGAGCATACTTGAACTTTTCCTTTTATGGCTCTCCAGAATACAAGCCTTTCGCCAAATGTGCCCCTCTGGCATGAAGTTAATTACTATTAGAACAAGCTGGAAACAAACTGATTAGAAACCCAATAAAAAGTTCATTATTGTCTCATAAGCAGATACTTGCTTCCTTCAATTAGGAAAGCTATTTTGTATCTTAGAACAAAACCTCTTACTTGTGATTATTCATAATGCTGTACTTCTCAGTGCATTGTTTGATAGTGGCTTGATTGGCCATCTGATTTTCATTTATTTCTGAAACTGTTTTTCCCAGCTTTTTTATCAAGGGTTTTCATGAAGCTGATGCTTAATCATTTGGTTCTTATTTGATGTAATGTTTGCTTAGAACAGATGTAAGATTTTACATCTTACAGTTAGATCATTTTCCTTCTTACCTCAGACTTTCCAAATGAAACACAGAGTAATTATACTTGTTTCTGATTCCTGATTGTTTGCTCATTAACAAAGAAATTGATATATTAGGGATAAAATCCTATAACAGGGAGTTTTGCAGCATAAATCTGAGAAGCTGGCTTCCACAGATGCATAGTGCAATAAAATATAAAGCTTTAGTGTAACAAAAGTCTTGCCTTTGGTCTCCATGGAAAATATATTAAAAAAAAAAAAGAAACAGGAACAGGTCCACCTCTTCAAGAAAAAAATTAAAAATTTTGTGGGTCACAGTCTTCTGTTAATAAAGCTTATTTTGAAATTCGCTATACTGAATACAGATGATTTCAGTATAGCTACAGATGGATTTAGTCACTTGATCTCTTTCTTGATCATAGACTACCCATCAGCTGTATTACCTCTGTTACTTCTTACTAACTTCATAATTCCTCATAACACCTGTTTCTGGTAAATATGTTGGACACTTTGCTGTGACTTTTTCTAAGAGTACTGCTGAAAAATGTTTTTCCTTTCGTTAAGTCATGATAAATACTTAGGGTTTTTTATGAAGTTTGAGCTTCTGCTGTTATCCCCACAATACTTAGTAGCCCAGAAGGTCTCTGCTCAAAGCTACTTGCAAGATCTCTAGACAAATGAAATTGTAAGGGAAGGGAAGTTTAGTTATGACAGTGTTAGAGAAGGCATAGAGTGTCAAATAGCAGCTTACAAAATCAGTTACAACTGTGCTCCTAATCACACCTATCCCTGTTAATTACAGTTTTAGTATGACTCAGCTGTTCACTTGCACGATGTTCGTTTCTGAAGATCTCACAGCGTCTCTAATGCTATGGCAATGCTAAGAGTATAACCTCAATCACTAAATCTCATTCTTTTATCTGGATAGCAAGACTGTGCTTTTAAAATAGCATCCCTCCTCACCTTTATGTGTTTTTCCACATGGAGATTTATGTCCATGTAGATGATTAACTAAATTCTCGATGATACCTATAGAGACTTTTTTATCCATAAAGCAGGAGTAGAAATCATATTTTGGCTTGTATTCAATAAAGCATATCAGCTACTTCAAAAACTGTGAAATGGCCCTCTAAGCCCTCCAGAAAACATGGCTTGTGCCATCTGCCAGGGCAGAAGCTTAGAAAGGTCACAGATGCCAAGGTTCAATAGACAGCTTCTTTTAAAAAATAACAGCAAAAGACAGTGGAACTGGGGAAAAAAGCCTTTGATGTGTTTAAAACATAGAGTTGTATGAAAGTCTGTCCTAAAATTTCTCTTGGTTAACTGTCAGCTTCTGACACGCTCTTCCCACAAAGACTAAAGAAGTTCAAAGTGTGTCTTGTATCTTGGATCCTCTCCACCTTCCCACAGACCTTTTTTAAATTATATCAAGCGTTTGGGTATACATGGCCTTTCTATCTGTAATATGTGATCATCCCCCGAACGTCAATGGTGGGAAAGTGGAATCATCTTTGTCTTTGTTCCCATCTTGTAGAAGACACTGTTGATAGTTTGTGAACATTCTCATTTGTAGGTGTGATGGGAGGGTTGATACAGTTTGTGGGAGAAGAAGGAATGAAGTTGAAAGACAAGCCTGAATTTGGTTCTGGAGGTAGTTACATCTCACAGTCATTCTGAAGATAAGTACATTGCAGAGCCCCGGTCTGGTTCCTATAAAAATTCTTTTGCCCCATAGTAACAGCAGTTGGTCAATGGTTTAATTATTCTGTAGCATGTAACTCTCATAGAAAGCCATGATCCTGGACAGATAGGGCCACATTCCAGGATGTTTGGGAATTTGTATTCACAGTCGATAAATGCACTGGGGAGTAAAAGATAAAGCTATATGAGCAAAACCTAAGTTATTTTGTAAAACAGTAATTAAGCATGGTAGGCTGGTTGTTGTTCAGTAATCCTCTCAGCGAGCA